CGACAGACGTTGTCCTGTCTACACATTTTTAATTTGAAAATTTCAAACTTTTTTTTATAAACTAAAATTAAAATTCGAATATTATTTAAAATTTGACACTGCGATGGTAGCGCCGTCTGTCGGATCCAATGTAAAACATTCCAAAATCAACAACTACTGATAAATTAAAAATTAATTAAAAATATCATTGTCCAGCGGACAAAATTGTGAATCTAAACCATTCCCAGATCCCCTTGAACACACACAAAAAATTTCATCAAAATCGCTCCAGTCGTTTGAGAGAAGTTCAGTGACATACACACTCACAGAAGAATTATATATATAAAGATAACACATAAAAACATAACATTAATAAGAAACAGGAAATATTTATAAAGAGTGTTGCAATGCTGACCGAATAAGGTTTCACTCAGCTTTGTATGCTGGGTGTTCCTCTCTTGACCACGCAGCGCTGATCTTCCGTGAAAACCCATAGGATTGTCCGCACGCCAGTTACAGCGCTGGAAAGCCAAACATAAATCTTAAAACTAACATGTTATATAAGATAAAAAATATATATTTAAAAGTAACAACAACAACTATGAAGCGATGCAATTAGGGATATACTTTTAATGGTAATAAAATGCAAATTTTAAGAACTTAGCCTACTTTTGCTGCAGAAAAATAACCTCAATACACGCAATTCAACCTTTTTATAACTCCTTTGTGTTTAAGTTAGGGAACGTACCCATACTATGTGACCCGTTTAGGTGGGGGAGGCGGAGTCCTTAAAATACTACGGTCAGTCACAGGAGCGGGGGGGGGGGCTTAGGTTTTTGTCACGTAATCGTTAGTTGTTCTTTTTCATAATACATAATTCACTAGTAATTTAAGAATGCATGCAGTCTTATGCTATAAAGAAGAGTATGAGCCAATTTTTTTTTCAATTTTTGCCTGTGAAATAATCAAAAATCATAATTATGGATTACTACCTAAAAACTAAAGGGGAAGACGGGTGTCTTGGCATATCCTACGAGTGGTCACCGAGGGGAGGGAGGGCCAAAAAAACTAAAAAAAATAACTCACGTAGTATGGGTATGTTCCCTTATAGTTTACGTGGTAATTATTTTATAAAACAAAATTGCTTCATTCAGAATTATAATATGAATCGTTTTAACCACGAAACGTGTGCTTATACTAGCATGTATGTTGCTAAACATGTAAACGGTGAGTTTCCACTGCTATTACCTATACAAAGACTGGTAAATCAGATTTTGAATGTAAGGAATGTATGGTTTTTGTGTGTTTATATACTTTTGTGTGGTTTAACTATCTACGAAGAAATTCAAATATATGTGTGAAGTCAACCAACCCACACTGGATCAGCGTGGTTGACTATGGCCTAGTCACTCCTAACTTAGGGGAGGCTCCAAGCTGAGTGGGGACGCATTGTGAGCTGATGATGATGATTTAAGGACAGATACTAAAAACTAATCTTCGAAGATGATCTTATTGAATATCCATTTATCGTTTAATTAATTTAAACATAAATTAATAAATGCATTAGGTATTTTAATTCTAACTGCGTAACAAAAACAAAGTCGTTCAAAAAACGAATAACACGATAAATTCACTAGATTGTTCGTTTACGTCATTATTCACGTGAACGGAAAAAGTAAATTGTTAAAACGCATCAAAGTTTTCAACAATAACACAATGCATTTCTATTTTAAAAACATATTTTGTAACCTCTTATTTTCTTGATAACATGTTGTTATACAAGTTTTACTGCAGTGGAATGTTATGATTAAACGTTACACGTTTTTTATCGTATAGCAATGTATTAAAACCACATTCTGACACAACTTTCACATTTTAAAACATTCACTTTGTCGAATCAGAAATGCTATAGTTAAACTTACAACACCGGCTCGTTGGTCTAGGGGTATGATTTTCGCTTAGGGTGCGAGAGGTCCCGGGTTCAAATCCCGGACGAGCCCAATTTTTTTTTCTTTTAGATTACAATAAACAATACTTATGTTGTCTCCTAGGTGCAGTGATAATAACTTTTCTAATTTTTATACATAAGAATTTTATTACTTTCAGTTCCATGTTTTACATTAAAATATAAAATTTCGAATGACCGAATTAAGATGGGGTGATAAAAAGGGAATAAGGTTGGCCTACTTTCATATACTGATGACCTCATAAAGACGTTAGCAAATGTTGTTAAAGAGAAGCACATCTTTGGAAATAATTTAACCCTCCTTCGCACGGGTGCTTTTTTAACGTCGCGTTAATTCGGGAGTTGGCGGCTCTCGAGCAACAAAAGCTTTAAAATAACTCTTCTTACCTTCGCTTAGCGTTCGAAATTACATTGAAATTCATTTGTAATATTTGAACGGCTTTTAAACGCGCGATAAAAAAGCGCCCTTACGGAGGACGCATAAGTGTCAAATAAAAAATGTTAGTAGGACGAAAATGTGTTACAAGTATTTGGGCAATATATCTAAAGATCGGTTTTGTTGATATCTAATTGATAACAATAAAAATTAATCTTACATCTTACTTAATATTACAAATGCAAATGTTTAAATGGATGGATGGATGTTTCTTAGAAGGTATCTCCAGACCGGCGTGGATGTTGCTTACATTTGGCATAGATGTAGAACATAACCTGGAAGAACACATAGGCTACTAATTAAGATTTTTTAATTCCGTGCGGACGGAGTCGCGAGCCGCTACTAGCTTGGAATAAATCGTTGATACGTCTACAAGAATTCTTCATGATAATATCCCGTTAAAATAGTTTTTGTTCGAGATTCCAATGGCTAAGTCGGAATGATTTATAAACCCAATTATGCTGACAAATAGCACATAAAACGTATAGATAAAAATGATGAACGTCGAAAAATATACAGCCTTAACACTCACAAATACTATTTCATTCAAAATAAAGCCGTAAGGTATTTAAATACTTTCTTTTTTATTCGTTGTGGATGGCTACAAATGTAGAGGAACACCATGGAAAGTATGTTTGGATTGTGTGAAAGAGGCTATACGGAAGAGGAGGTGGATTCAGATGTGACGGCTGACCGAGATGTATGGAGGAGTAGCATATACTGTGTCAACCCTCCATAGGGAAAAGGGCATGTTGATCTGATGATGATGTTTTATTGACGGATATGCATTTAAAATAGTTTATAAGGTAAATTTTCTTCATACTCTACATTAGTGTCACTCTAATTGTAAGTTACCGAAATGCCTATCGATGCTGTTGTCTCTGTCTGTTCCATCAGAATGATAGAGTTGACAATACTGTAATATATAATTGTTGCGTTAGCGTAATTTTACGGCAACGTCATATTAGCATCTAGTGATATTCGTGAGTAAATTACGCAACTAAATAACTTTCACTTTACTCGAGTTTTGCGTGGTCAGATTTTTTATTTCAATCACTATGGCAGCCGGCTCGTTGGTCTAGGGGTATGATTTTCGCTTAGGGTGCGAGAGGTCCCGGGTTCAAATCCCGGACGAGCCCAATTTTTTTTCTAATGTAGTACAATCTTAGCTTTGTTCTAAAGTACACAGTTTAATAATTATCAGAAGGTTTTTCTTTGGTACAGTTCTTAGACTTTCGCATATAAAAAAACTTACATTTTAGGTTTTTTTATTGTTGTAAATGTAGATAAAAAATACACACGGAGATAATGTCTATTATCTATTTCATCATTTAACTAATATAGTTTGAACAAGATAAAAGATAAATGTGACAAGATTATCTTATATTAAAGATATTTTAAATTGTAATCAACGACTAAGATTTATGACATCTCATCAACAATATTTAATTTATCCATGAAAATCTTCCAAATGATACGATATTTTCGTAAGCCCAAAATAAGCTACGAGAAGTCAACATTATTCCAATCGGTATCATTAGAAAGTTCTCGAAAAATAGCCAACAGCGAAAAGGATCCGAGATAACATTTACTGAGCTAAACCAGCAACAAACTTTACATGACTTTCATTTTAAAATGTTATTATAATAAACCCACAAACATGTAACAGACATTGCCACGTGAAACACGTTTTCATCAACTTTTCTATTAAATAAATGAACAGTTGAGTTATTGAGCGTGTCCTAAACGATATAAGTTTTCTAGGTAACTGTAATTTTAATGCTACATATTAAAAAAAATTGGTTAGAAAGAGATTGCGTTATAAATAATTAAGTGTCACGTTTAGCAATTCTTTTATACTAAGTTTTTGGTATTAAAATGCAGCAGGCGCTTAAAATAATTTTATGTCCCATCTATACATATTAATAAAATTGGAGTGTATGTATGTAATATCAAAAAATATATATATACAGTACACATGATGTAATTTCTGTATCGTATCGATATGTTATTCTGTTCTGTCTGTTATGTTGTTTCTGTATGTCTGTCCTCAAGACCGTGTTTGTTCTGGATAATAATCTTGGAAGAATTAGAACGAAATAATGAGCGCTAACAAAGTCGCGGGCGACCGCTAGTAAAAAAATACAATTGATTATTATGTTATTGGGCACATTAAGCGATAAACATTCTTAATAACGTGTCTTGCAAATTTTAAACGTGATAAAAAATGAATTGACGTTTTTCTTTACATTACTATCCAAGGTTTGAAATGTAATTTATGCTGACAACGCCTTTGAAGTGTCGGCAAAATGAGCCGTCGACACACTTTACAAGGCTTGGTAAATACTTATGAAGAATTGATGAACTCAATAATTCAAAGCAAAAACTGCATGCGGGTTAATTTTTTACAATATATAATTTTGTTACAGTGTCCAAGGTTTATTAATTGAATAGCAAGATATTACAAATTAGTGATTATAGGTTACATTTTATATTTATCGCGGGATAAATCTTCCAATTAAACAAACTTAACCGTATTTATTTCATTCAAATACCAAAGAGATTATAACTGGCAAGCTTCAAACTATTTTTCTTAAATAAAAGTCAATATTTTCATTCACTATTTTATTGGAAAAATAAATAAATTAACCTAAGGGAAGCGGCGTCCATTTCCGACGAGTGGTGGGGATTGGGGGGAGGCTGGAAAGCCATTTAAATTCAACGGAAGCCAAGAGCTATAATTGGCTCCCAGCTCCCAACGAATTAAGTACTAGATAAGATATAATTTTTGCTTAAAATGTCACACAACAATGTTTATAACTTAACCTAAATACAAACAAATTATTATTAATGAGCAATCACAATATCTTAGAATATAAATCCAAAAGTTACGTACGCAAATCTTCGTACTTCGTAAATCCGTTGAACCAATTTTCAAATTATAAACTATATGAAACTTGAATAGGATTACTTATGGTACAAGCTCTCGTGGCTTTTCAGATTTAAAATATAAATTCCTTTATATAATTTGAGCAGCAATCAATTTTATTCTAAAATGTTCGTTGGTAAAGTAAAACAATCTCAGTATCAATATTACTTCGAATTGTACAAGTCTGATACTGAAACTGTTCTAGTTTTTAAATATTAAAAGTCCGTTATGACAGCTAAAAGAAAAAAAGAAATTAAAATACGAAACAAATACTATGACTTTATATTTCTATGAATTATCAATCAAAATTAAAATTATTTTGAGTAATTTAAAATTTCTTATTAGTGTTTAAATTTCGAACAAGTTAATTTGACAGCTGTCAACGGACTGTTGTATTTTACAATTTTAGTGATGTCTATCTACATAGATTACACGATAATTACGCCGCAAATTATAAAAAAAAACAAACAGCAGTAAATCAAATGCAAAAACTTTCCCTCCATTATTACTGACACGCTCAAGAATTATAAAGCACGTGTTTGGTAAAAGAAACACATTTGTACGTTTTAATGTCTGGAGCGTGTTGCGTTTTTTTTCTGGGTTTAATTACAATCAAGTCGCTTAGCATTTTGTGGCCAGTCACAAACATTGAGATGGGTGTTGAATACGGTCCCTGGTTGACATGTGAATCTCACTGGTTCTCCATTGACGCAGCGCCAATACTGAAAAATAAATAATTTTGTTTCAAAACGGGCAACTTAATTCTGCAACGAACTTTCTTGTTATTTCATTGTTACGTTCGTTATCACTAACAAGTCAAGCAAACTTTTTGTTCAGTAAGATTCTAAAGATTTTGTACCAAGCAAAATTATGATAAATAAAATTTACGTGATTACTAAGAGTTTTATATAGTATAAATAAGCAATTTAATGTCGAAGATGCGCCTGATAATAATTTAAATGCAAATCTGGCGTCGTAACGTTCGCGATGGTAATGTAATGTCATACGTCAGGCGTTTAACGGTATACGAGACCCATCCTAATCTCATATAAGTTAAGAATGCAATTTTGAATCTGAATGAATCTTCAAGCTTTATTAAAGACCGAATTATATTAAATTATCTCTCAAATATTACAGTCACGATACGTATTATTTTCATTACGAGTGTGTTACAAACTATTTTAAACCAATAGGTGCTGAGAAAAGCTGTTTATTTTTATGATAATATGAAATTGTCTGTATTATCGTACCTTATCGCAAGCTTTCTTGTCAGGCACGTAATCGTCCTCCGTATCGCAGATATCAGGGTTGTCAACTTCGTTTTCCTGTTTAAAATGGAATGAAATTATTATTTATAATATACAAATTATTGTTATTTCAGTTTTTTCAAAAGGAATGAAAGAAATGACAATCTATCAATGTACAAACACATTCCTTGCTTCATTGGTTCTTAGTATAATCAATGGATGGTCAGCAAAAAAGTGTCAATGAAAAAAATAATAAAACTTACCGTTGGAGGTTCCTCGGGATGGTCATTGACCGGTTCAGGTTCAGGTGCTTCACTGGCAGCTTCTGTTGTTGTCGTCACACGAGTAGTTGTATATTTAATAGTCGTAGTCTTAGTGGAAGTAGACATTGTAGTAGTGGGTCGCCTTGTAGTCGTGGTGATCACAGGGGCGCCCTCAGCTGGGTCGCTAGGTGTCGACGGTGGCCGCGCCCATTCCGGCTAAAAGATTTTATCGCGATGATTTATGACTTCCATTTGTCCAAAGGATTTATCGCCTCTCGATTGCCAACATATTTTGACAGTAAATACCCTATCTCTTGTTACTTTAAGGAGCAATATACAAGTAAAATAGTGTTGTACGTTAAAATTTCCTTTCATAATTGATAATTAATGAAGTGCAATATTTATTATCACGTAATATATTTGACATTTGTATTCTATTTTTTTCAAAACTAAAATTTCTGCAAATTTTGAGGAATCAATTTTACATAGTTTCAATAAATGTAATTTAAATATTTTCAATAATGGTAAACTATAAGTTATCGTAGCCTAAAATATTTTTTCTGTGTTAATTTTAATCGATATAAAAAAAAACTTTACTTAGGTATCAAATTCCAAATTAACATATCTTCTATTCAGCGATAATCATTTGTATTCGATTGATTAAATTGCATTAAATCGTTGCCGACTCGATATCGATTAAAGCCAAAAAATATCCATCCCTAGTCCTAAGCCTAATAAATTCGTACGCAAACTTTACTTATATTGCCCGAGCTCGGAGTAATCTGGAGAGGTTTGTTTTCTTTGCCTTGGATACTCACTGTGGGGGTGGTATGTCCGGTGCGGGGTGGGGGAACGGTGTAGCCCGACATTTCTTTGTGGAGGATATTAATTAGAGGATTTTTGGGACCACACAGACCCCTGAAGTCATCCATATCGATCGCCCACGTCATCGCTCCGAGGTAACCCTTCTGTTTTATCCAATCCATTTTAATTTCCACGCTCCGCGGATCCTCGTATCCAACCCACTGTGTTCCCTTGAACGCGTAGGGGCATTTTCCATGTTCATCCCACTTTTTAGTCCAGCCAGAATCTTTCTGATCTACTTCAGTACAGATCTGGAATTTAAAAACATAATTAAAGGACTACAATTTTACAAGCAAGATACCTAGCTGTTAAAATTGATGAAGGGAACTTAATTTATTACCCAAATCTAAATAATGCACCCTGCAAGTTTAAAATAATTAAAGAATATCGTAAGCTAAAGTTTGCTAATGATTATAATTAAAATTACGATTAAAATACATTTTAACGTCATGAAAATTTAAACGAAATTTTACAAAACAATTTTTAATAATTCGAAAGCTTGTGTATTATAAGAAAATACTGAAAATAGTTTCATTTCATTCGACGAGACTTTATTGCGTTCAATAATTTTAAAGTCGAGGGAACCGCAATGAGAAAATTCCACAAAATAAACTTTGGAAAAACTTTCCAATTGAAACAATGGAATTTTCTCGAAACTCTTTAATACTTCATTCTTATATTTGTACTTTATTTAACCCTCTTAAGTTGATACAAACGTTTGCTTTCTTCGTTTACTTCAAGTACGAACAAATTGAATTTTTAAATAGCATTCGCGACCATCGATATTATGAAAATTAACTCTATAACCCGAATACGACGACTTTACTAAATAACTAACAAACCAACATAGAAATAAAGTTAAATCTAAAAATGACTTGATATTTTTAACACAACTTTAATAAACAGCCTTTTAGAAAGAAAACATAATGTCTAAAAAAATGTCTAAATATATGTCTATTGTCTTGAACATTAATGGAACAACTGTCCTTTTAAATTGCTTTAGTGCCTTTGAATTTGTAAATATCTAGTCTAGTTTAGCTTGATATTAAATATAACAAAAGTATAATCTCTTCACAGGGTTATAAGAAAACGTATAAGAGCCTATTTGAATGTTATAATAGACAATGTTACCTCGTAATAAGCCCAGAAGCCAGTAGCATTGGTGTAAGGCGCGGGATCTCCTCCGCCGGCCTCTTTATTGATATAAGTCCCCAGACCATAGTTATTGTTGCCCGCTGACAATGTAAACGAACGCCCGTAAAACGGAATACCCACTACCAGCTTATTAGACGGGCAGCCCTTTTCTTCCCAAAGATTAAGACCGTCGTTCTGAAATATTTAATATAAACAGTTGTATGACGATTAATCAATCACAGATTTTATATTTCTATTTGTTATAATATTATTTCTAACTCAGACAATAAAAAATAATATTTGGGATATTTTTTTCATTCTTTTTTAATAATCCATCAAGAATATTTATTTTAATGCTAAACAGTTTGTTGTATAATTAAACAAGAGGTCGTGTGGTTTTTTTAACTATTTATTGAATAGTTAGTTAGGTTATAAAAATAGCGCGCCTTCCTGTAGCACACTTATATCCAATGAATGTCTAATGCACCATTGTTGCCAGCATAGGAAAAAAGTTTATAATAATTTGAATGTTGCCAATACAAAAAGAAATTAATAAGAATTAAACAAAAACAATAAATAATTTATGTGAATTAATTGAACATTGTAATTTAAAAACATAATAACAGATGTCAGAGAATTCAAAAATACTAATTGACATATTTTATGTAATAATCTTCCTAAGTACTAAGTTGCTTTTTAGTAGTAACACTAACAGTATAAGACCATATTTAACGTTTAGTCAAAGATTCTATAACATATAGTACAATAGAATGATCTGACACGGTGATTAAACACTATCAATGCTATTGTTTTATTAAAGTAAACTCGTCGGTGGGTCGGTGGCACTGGATGTGTTAACTTGTCGGATCTTAAACGGACCTTGTCGTGAACGGTTTATGTCACTTACCACATTTAGTTTCTCATAAGCCCACTGATCGTGGGGACGCTTGTATAGCGGCGAGTGGACGTCTGCGAAGCCAGCCCAGTTACCACGCAGATCGTAAGTCATCGCGTGAATAGCATCCAATTCTCTGCAAATATTTAACACGATCGAATACTGTGAAAATGACTGAATGGGTTTAATACTTAAATACATAAAAATTCTTTTTGAAGTCGGATAAAGATTTCCACTGGATTTTTACATTTGAATAAGGCATTTATTATAACAAGCTCTGAGAATTAAGAAACATCTTCCCTGAATTGCTTTATGATTCTGTTAATCATTTATTCATGAAGAGCCACTCGCTTTTACTATATTGCCGTGAAAATTTCTTTACAAACAAGATGAGATATAATTTCATTCGAGAGAGGAAAAATGTTAAAAACATCATGGAATGAGGGAGAATGTTTTCAAAGGTACCGATATTACTGCTATTAAAATTTCAATTGCTCTCTCCAATTTTATAACAGTCGTAACCACGCTAATGTGGTGATGAAATGTCTTTCGTAATATTCAATTTTATTGCTTAGCTGAGCTTTTGATTCCTAGAGGTTTTCCGATCTGATGAAAAATTGGAATATAAATCGATTTATTTTATAATCGTTACAACTGAAAACAAAAGAACCCGCATTTTTTGAACTGAATCTGCATAGATAGAGAAACAATTCGTGTTGTCTATTTCCAAACCAACTTAAATTGAATTTAAGATTATTTTGTAACTATCTCGATTTTTATTAGATTGAATTTTAATCACTGCATGTCTTTACAAAATTCCGCACCGACATAAAATTTGTATGACACTACTCACCGACACAGATCAGGTACATGGTAACCCTCCATAAGTCTGAACGCTGCAACTGGTACTGCCGCTGTCAGTTCCCATCCCTTCCCCTCTCTGATGAAGGCGCGTCGTAATTCTTGCACGAGGTACAGGAAGCGATCCTTATCGGAGAAGGAGCCACCTCGGTCAGCAGCACCGGGGTATTCCCAATCAAGGTCCAAGCCATCGAACTCGTATTTGTTTAGGAAATCTGTAACGACAGTCTATAGTTATCCTTTATGTGAATACATGGTGTTTTAACTTCGTGAATATAACTGTGATTGTCTAGTGTTTAATCTTTACAAAAACATGTAAAAAATACTGTTTTTTTAAGAAAATGAGTTATCAGGAGGCAAAAGTTCTCCCCTCTTAAGCAATGGAAACAAGCTTTGACACTTAACATTTTACATTTTTTTTTCATCTTATAACGATAAAATTACCTTTTATTGTTTTCAAATATTAATTTACAACGTTATTTTGATACAAAAAATGTAACAATTTGAAATTTGTTTAATAAAAGCATAATGGGCTTACAAAAATATCAAAAGGCAAAGTTTTAAATTAACTCGTCTGAGCATTCTTCTAAAACGATAATGGAAAATAATTAAAAGCGAGTATGCCGTGCCTCGCATTCGCCGGGATTCAGTTCGTAATAAGTCCCCTGGAAATATGACATTTATTTGCATACCCGAAGCCGTGCTCGGGTAATGTGGGGATATAAAAATGTTCCTCTCTCGTACAACTCGGAGTCATGTCACGCTGTAAACGTTACGTATTATTTTAACTGCCTTCCACACTTGCCTGAATACCGCTTGTTGTTAGAATTGGAGGTTAGAGTTAAAATTTTAGAGAAAGTTTTACGAAATTTTGTAATCTTCATATCTTACTTGTTATAAATGCGAATGTTTAGATGCATGGATGCAACGGATCTAGCTGAAATTTGGCATAGATGGAGAGCAAAGTGTGGAAGAACACATAGGCTATATATTATTTTTTTTTATCGTGGCTGGAGTCGCAGGCAACAACTATATTATATAAAACTTTTGTAAATTGTTCTATTCGAAATGATGTGCTAATAAACGTTTGAAGTACAGTCTAAACCAGATAAGCAAGAGTCTAAGGGAACGTGATATTTTACTAGCTTTTTAAATTCTCGTTTATCAAGGTTTGACTTTAATAAGAAGACGAACCATGATTTTTAAAAACAGTTGCTACATTTTTCTGAGCGTAGCAGAGAAAAAACAATCAAGAATTAATTGATGATAATATTTTAGAAAGCTTACTATTTTTTTATTAAACTATGATTAATAAGCGCGTGAAAAGAATTTTATATAATTCATAAGACAATTACCGAAAAGGCTTTTATAAAATAATTACGCAATTAGCCGTAACTACATATTAAGGAGGGCAAAAAAGCAATTTGCAGTAACAGTCCGAGCGCGGTGCGTCGCCGGAGGCTCGCTACACTGCAATGACACTAATGGAGGTCGCATTAAAATATTGCCCCTTATTTTTGTCCTACACAAAGAAAGTTCTACTTGTAGAGATATTTGATTATTTTTATTACTTATATTATAATACAAAAAAAAATTGTAAGTTTATTAACGAATTTAATAAACGATTAAATAATCTTTGACACATTTCTTGATTAACTTAAGGTCACAAATGCTCGGTTTTAAAGGTTCCTGACATTGTATAAAGTTTTGCAAAATAGTAGTAGAAATAAATTGCGATAAATAATGTTTAACCGCGGTTTTCTGAGTCCAAAATGTCCATTTATAACATTGCTATCATCATAGGGATCACGATATGTTTTATAAAGATATCATAGTTTCAGAAACACACGATAAGTAATGTAATTTTTGACTGAATCTTAGACGAATACACAGAGCAGAAATAAACTGAACAAAACAGAAACAAGCATATAAAATTTATCACTGATATAAATATATCATTATATATTATATGTTATATAAAATGTGTTAACTTCAAACTGTCAGTAAATTGCTCGGCAAACCCTAAACATCCATCAGGAAATGACAATTTCCAAGCTCTCTAGGTAATTCCTACGGGAGGCGTAACTCACTATTTCCTGCCGCGAAATTGCTTAAAGTGTCTCGATAAACTAAATTGTGGGAGAAACATTCTAAAAGCTATGTTGATAGAATGCCGTATGTGTGACATAACTACTAGTTGCCCGCGGGATTACATGCTTTCCCTATCTTATTTTACAAGGAACTAGTGTTAATGATCATATATTTAAATCAATTCCAGCTTGATAACTTTACGCGTTCCTGAGAAAAAGGGTCTTGACAGACGGACGGACAAAGTGATATAAGCGTTCCGTTTTTTTCCTTTCGAGGTACGGAACCCTAAAAATGACAAATAAAACGATATTTATAATTCTTTTTGTTATATCTCCTCCTTATATTATTAAATTTCCAGGATTTTTTCGGTATTATAGGTAACTGTTCTTTGAAAAAAGAGAACTTAAAACGATTATTATCCTTAATTAGAAAACAAAATCAATGTCAAATTTATGTGACATAGCTCATAACATACTGTGGTGAATTGTAGGAAAAAGTGTTAAAATCATTCTTAATAGATATTCTTCCTTGTGTATACTCAATTTATTACTGTATAAGAATTCATGGAGACGTTTATGACTAGTACAGTAATCAGAAGAAATTGCATAATGTGTATGTTGCAGGCAATTTATCTTTGTTATTGCTCCATTATATCATTCGCTTAAAGCAGCCTACACAACTTCATTGGGCCTAGCGAAATTTGCGACAAGCGCTTTCGTATCATCATCGCGAATTATGTCCAAACTTGCTGAATCAGAATAAATAAAACTCGATTAGTAGTACGTCTTCCAGGCTATGAGTTACATCTGTACCAAATTTAAGCAAGATTAAGATATGCCAGATATACCGTCAAACAAATATCCATCCATCCATCCAAACATTCGATTAGTATGATAGATGTATATTTTTAATGTACTTTGCACCCGACAGCGTGCGCTGTGCAAATCATATATATAAAATTCTCGTGTCACAATTTTCGTTCCCATACTCCTCCGAAACGGCTTGACCGATTCTCATGAAATTTTGTATGCATATTGAGTAAGTCTGAGAATCGGCCAACATCTATTTTTAATCCCGCGCGGACGGAGTCGCGGACGACAGCTAGTTTTAATATAAATTTTGTAGATGACGATACGATGGTGCATGTCATTCGTCCTAGGTACGCAGTTGCAGAACAGACTGTCTGCTCACTTAGGTTACTTAGCACGAAAACTTGCTAGAAAGTGTTCGTAGGATTAATGTTAAAATTTGTATAACGTTTGTACCGCTCTATCGAACTTGAGTAACGACAACAAATTTCATACTCTGTTCAGTTTTTTTTATTAACGTTTCTTAGGAAAAAATAACATCAAATTCCACTAAAAATATAAAAAAATAAATACAAATTCACCTAGGATTAGTATGAAAAACTTGACAGTCGGGAATTCACAAAACTTAAAAATTCACAACACGTCTAGATCGTTTAATACGACTTAACTTGGAAGCAAAATTTAAAGACATTTCCATATGCAGGTTGCACGTAAGCATTCTCACATCGGCTTTGCGTTTCCTGCACGAAATCCTTTCTGAATTTCACTCGCTCGTAGCGACCTCTCGTGTAAAGAACGGGTAATATCTCAAACTGCTTTTTCTCTTTATTCGCACATAAACGTTCTCGTTGAATTTTATATACAACAACTAGGATTTTTGAAAATGTAATTAACAGAAATAATGCAGAATATTTGATTATTAATTATTTACATCCTTATACATATATATACTTATAATACATAAACTCTTAAATCTATGATATAAAATAAAATTAAAAAAAAATTAAATTTAAATTGATTATTGTATTTCAAAGAATAGTAGGGATCTGAATGTTGGGAACCAAGGTTTCGGATGAAAGAAGATTGCATGTAGCTGAAATGCGAATGCTAATATGGATGTGTGGTGTGACAAGGAAGGATAAAGTTAAAAATGTGTATATTAGAGGAAGTTTGAAAGTAGCGCCAGTGATCGAGAAATTGAGGAGTAAAAGATTAGCGTGGTTTGGACATGTTATGAGGTGGGATGATGATGATATAAGCAAAAAAGTAATGAGATTGAATGTGGATGGCTACAAGGGTAGAGGAAGACCAAAAAAGTATGGAATGAGTGTGTGAAAGAGGATATGCGTAAGAAGGGGGTAGACTCGGATATGACGGCTGATAGAGATGTTTGGAGGAGTAGTACATGCTGTGCCGACCCTCGATAGGGATAAGGGTAGGTTGATGTATTTCAAAGAATAGTATTAATTTTAATTGTTTTTTTATAATAATTGTTGGTATCACGTAAAGCAAATTCTATACTGGCTAGTTTACGTACAATTTAACAGATAATATCCCGACATTTTATAAATTGTCTCTTACAAATCGTCAAATTGTGAACTATTCACAATATTACGAGAAAACATAATTGTGTAACAACAATTTGAATTATGGATTTTAATGAAAAAATCCTTTTATCTAAATATAATAAAAACATAGCAACAAAAAACTTAATCCTAAAATTAAACAAAGATTAGATTTTAAAAATAACGTACATTTTAATATCAAACGTAAAGCAAAATGTAAAGTATGTTCATATTAAAATTTAACTAAAAATAAGGTAAAATATATATTAAGATATATTAAAAACACTAGATATTTTAATATACGTATTAGTGTAGCAAGAAAGTGAACTCGTATGAAATACGTTGGAATTAGAATATAAAATGAAAATGCAAACTTAATATACGATATTACGAAGCCTCGGAGACTAAATTATAAATTAGACTTAAGAGTTAATTAGACTACTGACAAGACTGTGTATGTCGTATATTCCATAGAAACTTCTTGAAGCCTAAATGACTGGAACGCATTTACTGAATGAGGTGTTATTCGACTCGCTCCCCCGGAGTTTATTAGTCAAGTTTGTTTTTAATTTACTATTATTTATATAACGTAAGTGCTGACAGTGAAAAGCCGGTAAAGAATGCAATAACTGAGTTTAGCCAATAAAATATTGTCAGTCGTTCTCTGTCTAAAACTGAGATTATAATTTTTTATGTCAGAGGAAACTGTGTAGTATTATAAAATTGATTTTACTCACCAACAACGCTTCTAACGAAACTCAAGCGCGTGCTCTTCTGTGCTACCATTTGCGAGTATTTTGAGCCTCCCTCGGCCCAGCCTCCCACCGCCACCATGAACTTGACGTCAGGGTGGGAGCCACGCAATGCAGTGAAGTTCTTGAAGCCATTCTGCTCTACATCTAACTGCGGATTATAAATTAAAAAAATATAAATTAGAGATATGCCAATAGACTAATGGTTAAAGATATACACACGATTTGTGACTTCTAAGTCATAGGTTCAAATCACGGCATTCTACTGTTATCGTGGACAATATGCCTACCTAGAGCTTAGTTGTTTTTACAAGACATATAAATGTGTATGTTTATAAATTTATTTTTGTTTATGAAACTTTGCTATGGTGTTTAGAATAAGTTTTAGAGTTTTTAGACTAAAGATCTTTATTTAAAACCAGGTAATCTGACATTCAAGAAAATAAGATTTCCGATTTCCCCGCATCTATATATAGTTCTAGAGAAACAGTTGAGAAAATATACGAAGAAATGTAATAAAATTCTCAGATAAGGATCCTTAATTAAGAGAAGGTCCGTCTAGCGAGATGTTATCAACAAAGAAGCAAGTTTATCTATTGCTAGAACATTAAATATGAGAATTACTCGTAAAATAAATAGTTTTAACAAAACACAAGTTACTTTAGGTACAGTAATTGATTAGCAACTTACTAACAAGTTTTATCTAATCTAAACGCACAGCAAAATTATTTTAACCAAATCACACAATATATAAAAAATTTGAATAGTAAGTAACTATATCTATATAAACTAGCTGTCGCCCGCGAATCCATCCTCGCGGGATTAAAAATAGTGGCCGATTCTCAGATCTATTAAATATTCAAATAAAATTTCATAAAAATCGATCAAGCCATTTTGAAGGAATGTGGTAACCGTGGGTTTCTGAGTGAAAAATCCCGTTTAAAACATATTGTTGTCTCTGTGTTTTCAAAGATAATGACAGGGAGGACGATATGTTTTATACAGAAATTTTGGTGTCAGAAACCTATGGTAAAGGGCACATTATTTAGTGAACGTTTATTCCAATTTTAAAATATTAAAATTGTCAAATAGATGTATTTATATTTTTTTAAAGTCTTTATTCATTACACAAATCGTATACAAATATTTTTAAAAGTAAATCATCTTTATAATGAAGTCTTTTCAAAGCAAAGTTTTTTATAAAAATTCAAATAATAAAAACGAATACTGAATTGTTGGTAAGTTATAAGTATTTTGTATGGAAATGAGTCAAGTTCAGAATTTAATAAAGATTTCTGGGCGTTTTGTCTGGCGCCTTTTATTGTTAAATGATTTAGAGATTGTAAAGGGAAAGATGCTTCAAATAAATATCATTAAAATCAAATTATCTTACTTAAATATTATAAATGCGAAAGTTTATATGAATGGATGGATGTTTGTTAGAAGGTATCATCAGAACGGCTTAATGGATCTCGATAAACATTTGGCAATGTGTCTGTTATAATTTATATATGTATATTAATAGCTGTCGCCCACGACTCTGTCTGCGCGAAATAAAAAAAAAAACTCAGTGGCCTATGTGTTCTTCCAGACTATGATTTACATTTTACAAATTTCAGCGAGATCCATGCAGCTGTTCTGGAGGTACCTTCTAACAAACATCCATCCATCCATCCATACGTCTAAACATTCCGATTTATAATACAGTCATATTGAATATTCTTACCTCTGGGTCGATGATGAGAACCTCCTTAGAGTGCTCGGTGACACCGATGAAGGAGTATATAATGTGAGTGCATTTGTCTACAGGTATATCCTCAATTCCATACCTGCCTACCCCGGGACGGTACACCGCCCAGTTGCTGAAGTAACATACTATGCGCGCTCTGCTGTCCGCTGCAAGAAACAAAAATAGTAAAACATTAGCCGCAATTTAGCGCCAATAGCCTAATGATTATCGGACCGATTTAACGATCGTGGATTCGAAATTCGAATCCCACCAATCGATTGTCATGTAATAGCCCAGGCTAGGCTAGGGCTTAGCACAAGTTTCGAGTTTATTTGAAATGGTTACAAGGAAAATTACGAAGCTAAAAAAATGCTAATAATGAAAAAAGCATTAGGCATAAAGAAGGGGCTATGCTATTACTACTAGCTCAATACTGAACAGCGCTTTTTCAGCCTTCACTGTAACTAAATTTTGGTGATATTGTGATGGGTAAGTTAAAACCATCGCTTGCTTTATGTTTGTATATGTGTGCATGATAGGTGTATGAGAGTTTGTGTGGGTAAAGTTACAACTTTAATTATCTTAACTGTCATGTGTTATACTTAGAAAGTTTAGAAATTAGCTGTAAAATTGTAGAGTTGAATTGCTTACCCCTTAGAGATTTCACATATTAACATAGTACAAAATTATCTAGTTTAGTTTTATAATTAGGAACGTAACATCGCGTTCTCTACGTGTATTCTAGACAAACTCATTTTCAGCAATATCTTTGTTTATGCTTCGTTTCTTTATTACACCGGTCAAGGTCTTTTAAATTGAAAAGATAATTTCTTTTTAATAATTCTAGATTACTGGCTACTAATAAATCTTGCTTAATACGTTTTTAATCAAAGAGATCTTCACCACAAAGGTTTTATGATAAATATTTCATTAAAAATTAATAATATTAGTGTGAAATATCTAGAAGTTCGTTATAGTTTAGTATAGCAACTATGAAAATCTTTTTTTTTATACTTAGTTCATTTAATTCTAAGTTATTTTGGTTTTTATGCTTACATTCTTTCGCGGTAGTCGCGACTGCCAGGACAGCCAACGCCGCTAGTATTACTCGCATTTTATATCTGAAACAAGAAAGATAATATTTATGTTTATATGAATTATGAAATACAGATCTAAACAAAGATTTAAGTCTTGTAGGAAGAAAATAAGTAAACTAAAAGTACTTTTTTGAAGACCCTATTGTTTATTCTTAAAACCTCTTTTATGCAGTGCATGATTTCATCATCATCAGCTCACTATACACCCCCACAGAGGGGCTCGAAACCTACCCTAAGTTAAGGGTGACTAGGCCATAGTCAGCCACGCTGGCCAAGTGCGGGTTGGTTGACTTATTGAGCATGAATTATTGAACATTATTAAAATGTATTTAAAGGTCATAAACAAACGTAAAATTCAACTTAAGAATTTTTCAAGCGTATAATTCTTTGTCGCTTGCCCCAAACTTAAACTTTAACAAAATACCATTAGTTCTATGTGATACTTTTATATCAAATAGAAAAGCTCAATGAAGCAATATAAAATCGCATTAGCATAAAAAATTCAAAATTAATATGAGTTTCAACAAAATTGCAGAATAAAAATAAAAATTTGCAACGAACCTCAAACAAATCCGAGTAAGAACATTAAAACGACAAAACTTTTTAAATTCGAGCACTCGTTCTAACGATGTTATTTAAGTGAGTCTCTAGCGAGTAATTAGAGAGGGGACATGTCCTGTGTTACCGTAATATTATAAATATTGACATTATATAATCTTCCCAATAATACAAAATCTTAAAGTTACAAAAACGAAAGCTCTGCCTTAAATCATTTCAAATACCAATAGTATGTCTGCTAACCAGTTTATAATCTATCGTCGTCAAATTGTAAATAATGCAACTTGTTATAACATATGAGTACAACTAATTAAATATTAACAATATTTTAATTGGTTAATTGATTTTTGCCATTGCTAGTGATTGCAAATTGGCAATATTCAAAATTGTACGGTGACATGCGACGTTATAACGGCACTATACATAACGGGACTATTGCTCGAGTTCTACACTCACCCATTAACCTGGTCGCTTCAAACATGACCGCAATCCGATATATCTGAACATATGACGACAGATCTATTCTATAGATTGATTGCTATAATTACCCCCAATTAAATTTTACCCCCAATTAGACTACGACCGAACACCTTAAGATCAATCCAAACAAAACAAAAGACTAATAACAAAAATGATTAACCGTAGGCTTCTGATACCATTGTCTCTATAAAAAACATATCGTCTGTCATCGTTGCCAACACAGCTATAATATGTTTTAAACTTTAATTTGGCCTCAAAAACCCACAGTCAATCGTACTTATCTTAGGTAGAATTTTCTATCCATTTTCTTTAAGTTTAACTTTTCTTACGATAAGTAATAACAATGAAAACAATATTTTTCTTTATTTTTCGATAACAAAGTATTTAAAATAATCTTTAAAAAGTTAATATTTAACCTCTAGTTAAGGTTTTATCATTGGTTTAAACGTGTATTCTAATAACATATACTATTGTTTCCTTCATAAATTATAGGAAGCGATTAATGGACAAAGAACAAAAGTGTATAGACCTCAAAAGCAGGATAAATAGTTGACTTGAGTCATCAATTGAAATTCATCACAGCAACTCGTCACAACCTTTGTCTACCCACAATGACTATTCAGACAGGGTTACATATGTTTAATTATATTTGTACTGAATTCGAATAATTATGTCGCTAATCAATGAAAAGGTTTTATTACAAAGATAGTTAAAAAGTTATTTAGTTTGTAATAGTGTTATTTCATGTTTATTCTTTTCATAAAATGTTTCTCACAAATATTGTGACATTTGTTTTAATTTAATACGTATTAGTAGTCGCCCGCGACTCTGTCTGTGCGGAATTAAACAAAAAACTTCATTAGTAGCGTATGTGTTTAACAGACTATGTTCTACATCTGTGCCAAATTTCAGCGAGATCCATGCAGCCGTTCGGTAGATACATTCTAACAAACATCCATCTATCCATCCAAACATTCGTATTTAAAATATTATAATAGTATGACATTAAATATTAATTGATGCTATGTACAGCTTATTTTTTTTATTGACTATACCTAAATGATTATAAATTATCATCTACTTCAAGTTTCTACACTGTTTACTACTATTTTAACGTCATTTGAAACTATAATAATATTTACAAAAACAGGATACAAATTAAGATTTCTAACGTTAATATTATCATTAATAAGAAAGCCAGCGAAAGTTTTCTAGTTGTTAAGAATTAGCACTTAATGTGACAAGAAAAAAACCGGTTGTACACCAGCAAATATCAAGTTCAACGTTATTAGCAATGCTAATAAAAACCGGTGTCTGACTCAGTGTGTACGAAACCTTAACCTCAACCGATTTATTGTTTTTTTCGGTTTGACATTTCTCTACTTCTACTTTTTCGAGCAATTTATTTTCGACCAGTGTTTTATTTGTGATGTTATAAAATAGAAAGTTATATTAATGGCCATTAAAAGTGTCTTAAAAATAAATTCGCTATATTTAAATGTAATTTTAATTTCAGTTTTAATATTAACAAATACACGTTTAAAACTTTATGCATGAATATGTTCTTGAATATTTAAATTCAGTTTAAAACACGGTTAAATTCATTTTAAAAATGCTAAATCGTATTCAACAGTTAGGGGTTGAAAAGGACTGAATTAAAAACGGTACACAGCCATGCGAGTACAATTAGAGAGAGCCTCATTATTTATCCTTGTACTTTATGAATTACAAGAATTTCCAGAAAGTTCAGACAACGAACGTAAAAGTTTAACTAGACGCAACTTTAACCTTTGAGATAATTGTGTAGAGTCCCAGTATTTTCTTAAATGAAATTATATTCTATAACATTATCTGTTTATATATGTGTTGAAGATAAAGTAAATAATTGAAATTTACCTACTAAGAAAAGCTTTAAATTGGATATTAAAAAAACTTAGTAGCCTATGTGTCCTTCCAGATTATGTTCTACATATTTGCCAAATTTCAGCAAGATCCATACAGCCGTTCTCGAGACACCTTCAAACATCCATCCATCCAAACATTCGCATTTATAATATTAGTAAGAAATTGATTTAACTACTAAAATTTTAAAAAACTTTACATGTTTTCAAAAACAATAATGACAAGAAAATTCAAGAACATTTTTTAAAATTCGAACCTAATTGTTCGAAATTCAATTTTCAAGAAAATCTCCCATTTCAAAACAAATAGGAAAAAACAAAGGAATTCATAAAACGGTACTTGATAAAAAAAATGGTATCAATTTCAAGAAAATCTGCATTAAATTAGTTTGCACATCACGCATACGCCAACGCACCGTGCCACTGCATATGAGAATGTATGAAGCATACAAATTGTCTTCGATGAGTCATATTCAAGTGTCATTATCCTTTCCAGCATGAAAGTGAAACCTCACAATGCCGTATCTAGTGGGGTTATTATATCTATAAATTATAATACTATCGAGTATCTATTACTCCAAATCTTTTTTAATTGAATAAACTACACTAGCGAGTTATTAATTTTTTTTTTATCTAAGAAAAGTAAAAAGTTTTACAGCGAATTAAAAAAAAAATTATTCGCTATACAACTTATTACTTCTGTTAGATAATTAATATTTTTTTCTAACTACCAAAGAGAACTATTTGCTATATTTAGTTTATTTATTGTAAAATTATTTACGACACAAAAAAGTAAGTTTTTTTTACACCATATAATAAACTTAAAAAAAAATGAATTGTACGATTAATCACTATCACTTTACCCTAATAGTAATTTAAACATTGTAGAAAATTCTATATAATTGATTTAATATTTCTAACAAGTAGAGTAGTGTTCATTTCCCTCGTAGTTACATATGTTAATGAAATTAATAACTCAGGTGCTATTCAACAAACGTCTCCAATTATTATATTGTGTTAAGCAACGAACTGGAAGACTAATATTATCTGTGGACTTCAAGCGGCCCTTAACTAAAGTAATTTTAGCTCGGGTCAACTAAAACTCTATCTCATATTCCAATTTACATAAAGGTTTATATATTGTATTATCTGATACGTTGTCATGTATTAATGCGAATAAATTTTTACATAATCAAATTAACACTTAACGTATAACTATAAAATTGTCAATTAAGTTTTTTTAATTAAAATTTTTGTGAACCATGAACATAATGTTTGATACAGCACAAATATATAAACTATACTTTAAAAACTTGGCCCAAAAGAATAGGTAGTTTATTAAAAAAAACTTTTAACAAATAAATTTTGAGGCAACATTGAACATATAAATACTTATTAAAAGGTGCGACACCTCGTAAACGCGTTAACTTTAAAAAGTGTAATGTCTTATAACGAAAAATAAATATTTTTTAATGTGTTAATAAACATTATATTGATGTAAACAATTACCGTGGATTTCCGAGATTAAAATCGCCGTTTAAAACATAATATTATCTTTGTTTTGTCAAAGATAATGACAAAGATGACGATATGTTTATACAAAGAATTACGTCTCAGAAACCAACGGTTAATTCAACAACGTTTATATATCTTAAATATAAGTTAAGAAACACTTGCGATGTAAATAATACATAAACATTATTTGATTGATCCCTTGAAAGAAAACATTTCTCCCTGCGTGCTGGTTGTGCGTGACGCAGCATTACTCTTAATCACGCTAAACCTTTCTAACATTCAACAAATCTAACCTAATAGTCTCCCCGAGGCCCAAACAAACCTGTAATAAATCACATTTCGCTAACAATATTTAATCTGTTTACAATTACACTACGAATTAAATGTTACTATTTCAATTGCAAATAATTCATTATCAATATTGTTATTAAGAACTGTAGTTATTAAGAACTAGCTGTCGCCTACAACTGGGTCCGCGCGGAATTAAAAAATAATAAGTAACCTATGTGTTCTTCCAGACTATAGTCTACGCCTGTGACATTCATCCATCTAACTTTCGCATTTATAATATAAGTAAGATTACATCATCATCAGCTCACTACATGTCCACTGAGGGGCTCGGAGCCTACCCACAGTTAAGGGTGACTAGGCCTTAGTCAACCACGCTGGCCCAGTGCGGGTTGGTTGACTTCACACATATATTTGAATTTCTTCACAGATATATGCAGGTTGCATTACGATGTTTTCCTTCACCGTAAGAACGTCGGATATATACATATGTAAATCGGAAATCGAAAAACACATTTGTACATGACGGGATTCGAACCCCGGACCTGCAGATTTCAAGTCAAGGGTTGAAACCCTTGAGCCACCGACGCTAAGATTACAACGTGATACAATTTTTTTTTATTTTAAGATGACAAAGAATCTCTTTGTCTACTTTTAAGCAGAATGTTTATGTTCGAAATGTACATAACAATACAAAAAAAAAATAAAAAATGTATTTGTTTTTATAACAAGTTTTTTGTATTAAATGCCAAGACTTATTTACTTGGTCGATACCTTTCGAAATATTATAATAAATATCGTAAAACTGTTAAATCTTGTTAGTACAATATTTTCCACTTCAAAGAACATTATATTTAAAGTCTTAATATTCATAGAATTAATTAATTATGATTTTGATTATGTTCTTGTTAATTGTTGAGGATTAAGAGAGCAAGAAAGGAGAAAACTGATTTAAATAATTGAAAATAAATTTAACATTTATGAGTAGATTTAATTCTTTGAATATCTTAAATGCTTATTACATATAACAAAATATTTATTGGTAATTTTTAAATTACAGGTCAAAGAGCGATTTGCAAAAAAAAACACGACGCCATTTTTAGCTGACGATGATTAGTTTATTTAATTATGAGACATTTTTTTTTAATATTTTTCTATTTTTTGTGTCAAGTAACAAAATTAGTTTTATCGTTATGCTATTTGATATTATTTTTAAGCAAAAATAAAGGACAAACCATATTTCTGGATTTCATATAAATTTTGGTACTCGTAATATAAGTAAATATAAGCAATAAATCCTAATAAAAAAAAATGCTTATAAATGCCATATTTTTTTTATAGAAAACACACATTTATACACTATCACTTTTGAGCACTTTTAAAAAAAATATTTTTTTAATTTTTATAAACGTAAAAAATATACTGTAACAAATTCGCAAAAATAATACTCACGTTTGTGACGGAGGCGTGCGTGCGAGTGCGTCTATCCGTCCGTTGCACCTCGGTTATATGCGCGTGCGCACACCGCGACTACACAGGGTGTCCCAAATCAGAAACTTCCTCGTATCTCATCTAAGGAACAGTATGAGGCTACAGTCTGTTTATCACAGAATTACTATATTTAGTGTAATTTTCCTGACATGTGATTACACGTCCCATCGGACGTGTAATCACAAGTTAAGGAAATAGAAATAAAATGTAAATATTTTTTGTAAAGGTTAATTAATGCCGAAATTAGTAGAAGATTTCAATCAATTGAAAACCAGTTTATTAATCTCTACATATTTTATAATTTACTACTGATCATTAAATCTAACTTTTTTTTTAGTAGTTATTTTATCATCTTTTTCATCGTTACTCATTCTTTCTTATTAATTTTATTTGTATTATATTATAAGTAATTTTAAAATTACTCAATCTTGGTACGTCGGGAACTGGCATAACTGCAAATTAAAGATGCAATATTCTAGAAATATGCATAAATTATTTAATGTAAAATAAATAATAAAGCTACTGATCTAAAAAAATAATAAAAAAATCAAAATCTGAACATCCTGTAGTGTTATTTATCGATAATAATGAGCATTGACAAACCGAAAAAGTGCATTGTGTAAGGAGAGCGGTCAGGTCGAACAACGGAACAGCGGAAACCAGTATACGGGGAAAGGTTCTCCAAACTCCTTAGCGCCAGCTTATCATCGTGTTAAATTTATACCGATGGAACAAATGTCCCGTTGCCTTAATCACGTATGTAAATACAGCCTATAACGCTGTTTGACTTGTAAACATAAGTTTATAATGAATATTAATATTGAGAGTTATAGAGCAAACATTTGTGGTACAAAGCGATCACATTTGATACTGGAAATTAGTATTTTAGATTCTCTTTTGTTAAGTCCCTGTTTCTGAAAGAATTATCAAACTGTTAGTTTAACAGTTTGATAATACTCCTGTTTCCTTAATTTTCAGGGTAGTCATTATTAGAAATAAACGAAGTAAAAAGTCAGAAATTTTCGTGTTTAAAGTCAGTTTAAAAGTTTATTAAAAAAATGGTACCCAACCTGCAACCTTTACATCAATTTTTTTCAAAATTGGAGCACCAAGAGCAGAGCTACGCGGTAACACACAAAAAAATGGACGAATTAACCTCCTTCTTTTTGAAATCGGCTAAAAAGAAAGCGAACAAATGAAAAGAAGATTAATCCAAATTGTTAAACCTTAAATTAGCACTAGAAAGTTTTTTTTTTTGTCAATTTATAGGCCCACTAGGCTATTCACTGCCCTGCCGTAATACAGTTTTATACTAGTACGGAGGGCAGCTGTACAATACTAAAAACAAACTTGTCTACAACTTTGTAAAAAAATAAATAAAAAAATAAATAAAAAATATAGTAATTACAAAAGAGAACAATTTAGATGTATACGTAATAGTGGTAAAATAACTTGTAATTTTTTTTTTTCTATATACATGTTATAGCTTTATAATGTAAAGAAGCGTAATTTTGCATATCAGACTACTTAGTTATAAATAAATATTAGCATGTAGAAATTTATTGCTTTGTATTTTATATTAGCTCTGTTTAATACTTACATAACTTAGGGTCATATAAATCACGAATATGTCACAACAAAGTTGTGTTTGAACTTAATGTTTGTATTTGTTTGTAAATCTTGTAGTGAGAATAAATAAATATTATATTATTATTATTATAGGCGTGCCCAAAATTGCAGCTAGGGCTCGATTTTAGACACTGTATTTCCAAAGAACGGACTATGATTCTTTTTAATCTTTTTAATTTTAAATTCCTATCTTTTAAACCTTAGACGTTATACGTACACAAACGAGGGATGACGATATTCATGCCCGCAATATAAATAAAATAACCCAATCTAAGTCTTGATTATGGACAGATCTTTGATCTTTATCCGTATTAAAATTTAAAAAGCAATAAAAATCAATACGGGGATCTTAATTGCAAAATAAGCGAAGCTTTCGAAGGCTTACAATATTGGGATATTTTAAAAGCGATCAATGAACTTTTGGAGAATTTGAGATATTTAAAAATTAATCAAATTAACTTAGAAATTAATTATAAACTTTTTTTTTTGATCACAGTATTGTCAAAATGTCTCTTTTGTCGATTTTTTTTTTGCTTGGGGAAAAAAAGTAACTTACCTGATTTTAAGACGTAGATTAAAGAAGTAAAGATTCTGATGTCTTCAAGTTATGATTTTAAAGTTTAATATAGATTATATAACTTTGATAGCTTAAGTCAATGCTGAGTGTAGTAATTTAAAAATAAGTAATATTTAGCAATATTACTAAATTCCTCATCTTCACAGTACATCTTACTTCTTACTAATATAAATGCGAACGTTTGGATGGACGGATGGATGTTGAAGGTATCCCCAGAACGGCTGCATGGATCTCGTTGAAAGGATAGAACATAGTCTGGAAGAACACATATGTAGGTTACTAATTAAGTTTTTCTTTTAATTCCGCTCGGACTGAGCCGCAGGCAACAGCCAGTAATCAAATAATTAAAAGAGTTTACATTATTCCATTCGGACAAATGTATACTTTTTAATATTGTTATCCCCAATAAAAGTTCAAGAACGTAAATTTGTTCGGTAGTCTTAAGTGCAATAACATTAAATAAGGCTCAGAAATTCACTACAAGAGACGCGCACAATAACCTCAAAATGAAAACCATCAAATTTTACCGCTGTTAAAGCCCGTAAATATTATTTGATGTTTTATTTACTTTAGCAAAAAAAAATATTGTTTACAAATAAAAACAAAATACGAGTATATAGGATGTTTATACATGGCATTTGCTCCAACAATCTAGATCTGACAATTGACCTATAGACAGAGAAAAAAACAACTTTTGTATGGAAGTGCTACCATTTTTGCTGTGCTGTGCTGGAATTTGCTACCATACTTAGTTACTATATTTATTTTGGTGTAATTCCAAAAAATATACATAAACATGTACCATACTATTATATATAACTAAATCTCTTCTAAATCTTTAAAAAAATGTAATCAAGTACTCGATTTTGTCTTTGTGGACTTTAAACTTAAGTTAACCTAAACTAATTACCATTCATGCCAAAACGTTAAATGAAATAATACAGAAAAATCAAATGAAATCATCTTTCTTTTCAACAAAGAATCTTGTGTTCTTAAGACAGAAAACTATATCTATTTGTTTTCAATCTATCATTGTTAAAACGTCTCGATAGATTAAAAATGCATTCGTTTCTTTGAATAAACAATAAACAATCCAGGTCATAGCATGATCTAGTTTGGGACAATAGCTATGGACAATTTATCGTCTAATCTCTCGCAAATGAATCACAATCAGGGATTTGGCCCGGGGGCGTATATGCGATTGTCACGGACTAACGGAAGGAATATCGTCCCACTAATCTGCATACGTACGTGGCGTTTCGCGACCTGAATCCCAATCATCATCTCGTCACAATGAATTAAGGCACACAAAGCGATTCGGCAATGTTATTTTCCACGAGGACAGAACAGTGCACTGTTGCTTGAACGCACTCTTATTGTCACACTCTACTGTCTCAGTTATGTGTACTAATAATAGCATCACTGTTGTGTCTGTTTTGTCTGCCCTCGTGTGAAACTAAAACAACACACGATTCGCATACACTCGTATGTTCCGTGTTTATGTTATCCTGGTACCTTGCACAGGCGATGATATTTTTGTTTTAGTATTGTAATATTGATATTTATTTTTGTTTTAAAAGTCGACTTCTTTATCAGTAATCTGTAAGTCTAACCTATTTTTCCTGTGTTTATTATGTATATTAAACAAAGGGAAAAACAATTCTGAATTTCGCAGATGCGCACAATCAATCAAAGCCCGAAATTCGATACAAGTTGTGAACTTCGCGCCAATTTTGCGGCCATTACCTCTTTGCCTCGACCAACAGATTATTTCTAGCGTTCGAAATTTAAATTGACCACTTAATGAGGTTAATGTTTAGGAGAAACTTTTTCGTTTTTAAAATAAAGATAATAAATATATCTTTCAAAAATATAAAATACTTAGCTTGGACCCGTTTTCCTATGACACCAACAACGCCAGTGAAAATGGAACATAGTTATAGAAATAGTTAGTGGAAAAGGCTCTTTCTCTTTATTATAATACACAATGTAACTTTCTTATAAAATAGTACGACTAGTAGATATTAACTTTTTATATGTGTATAAGACCTTATACTATTAGATTTTTGACTTATATTATCTTTGAATAATCTTATATGTTTATTCGTTCTAGAAAAATCTAATGTAAAAGTAATTAAAGCACTATCGTCTTGTAATAATATAATATATATAAAAAATCAATTGCTGTCCGTTAGTCTCGCTAAAACTCGAGAACGTCTGAACGGATTTATTTTATCTTGGTCTTGAAATGTTCGTAGAGGTCTAGGGAAGGTTTAAAAAGTGATAAAAATGATTGCCGGGAACTAATTAAGTTTTTTTTTTCATCCCATACGGACGGAGTCGGGAGCGACAGCTTGCGACGTATAAAAATTCAGGGAGCATCCGAGGTTGTGGTGCTTTGTAACCGATCAACGATTTATACGAGACGTTTGTTTGAGGAAAATACGTGAATAATTTAATACTACAAGACGCATCTGACCACAACACACTGATAATCTGCAATTCCGCATTCGATATAGTGAATAAATATATTCATTGTCTCACAGAAAAAAAAATCAACTAATACTGTCTCGCTTTCTTCTTTTTTAGGGTTCCGTTCCTCATAAGAAAAAAACAGAACGCTTATAGGATCTCTTTGTTGTCCGGCCGTCGAAAACACGTGAAGGTATCAAGCTGGAATTTATTTTATTATAAGGTGTAAGAAACTTGTAAGTGGCTACCTAAATTCGCCAAAATGGCGAAGCGATGGCAACCCAACAATTACAGATGCGTTTATAAACAGTAAAGCTAAACAAAAATCGTACAATCTTTTTTTTACATTTTATATTATAGTATCTAGTAGCAATTTTTTTAATCTTTTTTTAATACGGTGTGGATCATTTCTGAGCGGTCTTTGTGTCGTTTGTTTTCTATACATTTTTTAAACTTGTGTGGAGACGGTCGCGTTGTAAGATTT